CCGCATGTCATCTTGGAAAAGATCGACCAAAACCTGCAACACAAGTTTGATGATGAGAACACAACTTGATGTAATCACACGTTTCTTCTACTTTACTGGAATCCACTAGAAATGATGATGCTACTGCTCAAATTCCGTTCTAACTACTGCATTTCACGACCGTTTTCCCAATAGCACTTGATTAGCCACTAAACCCTAACCAAGCTGCTCTGTTGGAGTGGAAAATCTGCTCCCATTCAGTAAGAGAGAATTCATGTCCCTTGCCCCTACCCACAAAGCCCACTCCAACGTGGCAACAGTAACAATTAAAGTAGCAATTAAAGTATGCTACTCGACTCCTCTGACGTGAACACTAACATATTAAAGTAACAATTAAAGTATGCTACTTGACTCCTCTGACGTGAACACTAACATATTAAATTTAAAGAATGTACATTCAGTTTAATCAAATTGTACAAGATGCATTGAAGCAATTTATCAGGGTCATCAAAAGACATGCAAACAAGTGTCGATAAGCTTTGTAATGCAAGAATCATCTATTCAGGTAAAAACAAATTACTAAAAAGAGATTAAAAATACATTTCAAATTAAAAGGAAAAAAAAAGACATCAGGAAGGCAAGAATATCAGAAAAAGGCATCAGGAAACAATTTCCTGATGCTTATAGGTTAATAAAAAAGAAAAGGAAGTAATAAATTCAAATATAAAGTACAAACAAAGACATCAGGAAGCCAAGAATATCTAAGAGCAAGCTTTACATATGATTATTATGCGAGAAAGAATGCACAAATACCTCTGCCCGTCGTAAAAGAGTAGCAAGTACCACAATCCATTCTTTAAAACTGACTGTACACATATGTGCAAGCAGAAACTCAGCATCTAACCGACTCTGTAGAGTATCCATTTGAAGCTGCAAGGTAAATGAAAAGCAGTTATCTATGCAATTATATGCTTGCTGTGCTGTATTTAATAGGGTAGCACCCATCCATTGGAGTTCAGGTGTAGATATATGTGCTGACATTCAGTAAACAATAGGCACTTTATTTTGAGAAATGTTGACTAGTAAACAATAGGCACTTGTGATTGATTTAGCAGTTTTCAAGAATATATATATATATATATATATAGGAAAAGTCTTTCCGCCTATTGGCGCAAATGAACAGTGATTTCTCCTACTCTCATCACCGTTCAAAGTTCATCACGATCACAATTGTCTGGTAGTGTTTCATTTTTCTTTTTTTTTCAACAAATCGGAATGATCTGAAATTTTGAGCGTGTGTACATCTTAGTGAGGCGCGCATAATAAAAATTTAAACAAAATAATTCGAAAAAATAAAATAGACCAAAATACCCCCAAAACTTTTTTGGGGTATTTTGGTCAATTTTTTTTCATGTAAAATATCTCTTTGATATTTTTCGTAGATTCGCCTGTTTTTTTACGAACACACACTCCAAATTTCAGGTCATTGCGATTTTTAAAAAAAAAATAAAAAAATAAAACACTACCTAACAATCGTGACCGTGCAATAAACTTTGGATGGTAATGAAGGTAAGTGAAATCACTGTTCATTTTCGCCTATAGGCGTTTTGTGGTATTCTCTCTCTCTCCCTTCCTCTCTCTCCCTCTTT